CTTTCCAAGTGCTGGCTCGGGAAAGTAGATCCCTGTGCTTTTTTTTAGAGAGTAGTTACCTACGTCATAGCATTAAAAACGAATTGTTCGGCGTCTCTTGCCATCAGCAGAAGCTCAGAATTTCTGATGTTTTTGAACGGCCATAAGCGATTTTATGAGCTTCTCCGACATAAACTGAATCGAAACACTTTATTTTCAACAAGCAGACCCTAGAGGAGTTCAAGGATTTGTCCATATGCCACAGGGTAGGAGAGTCCCGTTATGTAATACACCCATAAGCACATGACTAGTGCCCCTCCATAGTCGTGCTAGCGGTGAGTTTCACTGACCAGTTCCCAGAAACGGTCCCTTTCTCCGAACCGAAGAAAGTCTTGGGTGTTGGAACTTTTTCGTCAAGGGTAAAATCGTCCTGCAAGCAGCAATTGTTAAAAAACAAAATTGCGTCAGCGTCAAACTTAGATTTCTAATTTTGCATTCGCTTTTTCACATACCATAGGTGATGAAAGAACTTCTGGCCAATCGAGGCCGGAGGATGGTCTTAATGTTGAAGAATGTTGTTGGGTTGTCTCCGCAGAAGGCCCCTTTTACATCCTCCAGGTTTCCCAGCATGGTGACGATCGTGTTATGGAACCGAAGTTGTGCATCCACCTTTAGCTGAATGAAAGACCATATTGTTTTCCTTTAGATACAGAGAGTGGGAATTAGAATAAAGGTAATGAAGCGCTTTCACCTGTTATCAAGCAGTTGCTAGGAAACAAATGCGAAAATAAAGTGCAAACAGTTCAAAGATTCGGAACCCAATCTGTATACGAGTAAATAGCGAGTGACATTAGCGTATGACGTAACTTCTGCTACTATTAATTTTTGGTACGAGAATAGACTGCAGTTGTAATTAATTTACGAGAATCAATCGTTTCTGTATTACCAAGACAAAACGAAAACGCATTTAGTAGTAGATGAACTTTAGAAGCCCCATGTGCTTTGGAAAGCATGGATTGCATTTGCGGCTCGAAGCTGCAGAAGGGATCTAGTGCATGTTTTAGAAAGCAACATAATCAAATAAAAAATTACATTTCTGTAAACATTTCGCCGCAAGCCATTTATTTATTTTTTTTATTTTTTTTTTTCAGAAGCAGTGCATATGCCAACAGAACGTAAATAGAGCCTACCTACATACCAGAATACAAAAAGTTAATAATTACCGAGTTCGTTGTGAACCGTGTGCGGGTGGTGGCAGTAGGCTCACTACTCAGGGTGGTGCGTTCCACCGTGCAGAGGGTCCCGGTAGAGCTCTTTACACGAGCAATCCGAGCGGAACCCCCGCCTGATTCCCTTCATGTCAACGTTCGTTGCCATTGCCTCACTCTGAAAACAAGATTGTTAATAACGGTCAGTCATTTAACGCCCATAGTCAACCTAGCCCTAAAGCGCATAAGAAAGAAAAAAAAAAAAAAAAAAAAAAGAAAGCTTCTGTTTATATATTTTTCGCGGATGTACGACACAGAAAAAAAAAATATTCAGCCAGCTACAGAAAACAAAGAGCATAATAAACATCATAAAATCTCCAAAAACAAAAACATGGTCGGCGCCCCCCCCCCCCCCAAAAAAAAAAAAAAAGCCTGTAGCTGTGCCGGCACGACCGTCAAAATAAATATAACGAACAAAACAGTACGCCAAAGAAATAAAAAAAAAAAAAATGTACTCACTGGCCACCGCTACATCCTTCCCCGCTTTCCGCAGACGCCGCGACGCCGACGCAACGCGAACACGCGAAGAAAAAAAAACCTTTATTTCTTCTTTTTGTTTTGTGCTCGTCCAATCCCCCTGCCCTTTTCACAAACATACACACACATTATGGGTTTTTGCTCGCCGCCCACTTGAGAAAAAAATGTTCATAATCACTGCAACGCTAACGATGTCTACAACATAACATTGCAATGTAAATTGTTGTAATGAATTGTGAAGGCAAACAAACGCAAAATCGCCAACACTGTTTCTGTCAATCAACGCTCTCGGGCGGTTAACCACAAGCATTTAGAGTGCACACCGAGAAACAAATTGGCAAGCCAAGCTTACAAACACTGACTGCCCCAGCTAGGGTGCCTTTATGCTGGCTTTGCCTTAGGGAGGGTGATGCCATCCTTTGTAGTACTCGATGCCGACAGTGTACGCTCACGGATAAAATACAAGGAAATTGCCGGTAATAAAATGCCTGCGTAGCGCTGCCAAAGCTAGCAGCTCGAGCTGGGAGAAGAACGAACGCGCGTTCGAAATTAAAAAGTAGACAAAAGCGTCGGACAGAAAATGGTCTGATATCACCAGCCTATGACAGACGCGTACACATTGGGACACCCTAACCCGCTAAAAGTGTTCTGTGCGAAAGACAGCCCTGCGGCTCACGGCAGGGCAAACGATTAGCGACGCTTTGTCCTAGCTGAACGAGCAGATCCAGGAAGCGACCGCGTCCGCGGACTGCAGCTGAACACTCTCACTCTACATGCAAAGCTCGTGCATCTCACAGCCAGCGTGAAAATATTGATGGCTCGTTATTCCCACCCGCAATGCACCCAAAACAAAAGCGCCAATATGACAGGATTACTCACCCGAAGGAAGTCAAACGAGCAGCATGACGCTTGCGACTCTCCGGCAACGACCGTTTCCAGCTCTCCGTGAATTGGCGCGAAGCCTTAGCACCGTCCGAACTCTTTGCCGTGGATTAGTGCGCCTGCCCCCCTCCTCCTGACCGAACTACATTGGTCCAGTTAAGAGGGACCAGTCCCCTCTTAATATGAAGGGGACACGCGTGAATCTTTTTGTCTGTCTTTCCTGTTCAGAGGGACTAACGAAACGGTTTCCTTGGTCTCTCTTAATATGTTGGTGTCCCTCTAGATGTTGCTATTTTATTTTTCAATTTCCCTCTTAAAAAGAGCTGTCCCCCTGAAAGCATTGTTGTCCCCTCTAAAATCAGAGGGACAGCGTTTTTTATGAGAGACCGGTTTTAGAGTGCCTGGCACTGCCCCTGTTCACCCTTCGAGCACGCACATACACACACACACACACACACACAAGGTCGCAGCAGACGGATTGTGATGGCTCCCTCCATTAAAGGGCAACTCCACTCCATTTTTCCAATTTTGGGGTTCTGATCTGTTTAGTCGAAGCCGGCGGCCCTGAATCACGAGATATAATTTGTTTTTTGGTAGTGTGTATAGTTTTGTAGATATCGCGAATCCAAGTATCGTTCCGGCGGCACGGCGAAACCGAAACTACCGGTTGAAGCAGCTTGGCAACACTGATACTAGTGGCGCGTCGTCGGCATGACCTAGTTCTGGTCCCGCGCTTCTCAGCCGACGCGCCGACAAGGTCGGCTCAGTCGCACGTGGAGTTTCAAAACAGAAGGTTAGATGCACATTTTCTTTTTTTACCGTTTCACTTTGTTAATGTGCACCAAATGTAGTAAGTTTTAGTGTGTATTTATAAATTTGCCGGCCGAAAAGCGAATCCGACTGCTATAAATATGACGCGGTCGGTGCCGGTGCAGCGTGACTGTATTTGTTTTTTGCTCGCGGACCGAGAGAAAACGAAATAACGGGAGATAGATGGACAGATGGTATGCACAGGCGGTCTAAGTTGTTAAAGCTAGGGTGCCTTTATGTGCACGCTAGTTAGATCATCCGCGACCTGCTGCGTCCGGCCGATCGTGCTGGAGCAGCCGGCGGACGGTACGCGAACAGCGACGGCACCGCATCGTTCTTCAAAGACGCATGTTTCGTGGAGAAACCCGCAACAGTCAGCAGCCGCAGATCCCGTGTGTAGGTGTCTGAGGTAAAGTGCTGGGAGCAGAGCTTCGCGTTGGAGCTCAGAGTCACCGGTCTTCCGAAGTCTATCCGGCGAACGGCACCGACCCACACCTTGTGCCTCTTACGGTCTCTTGGGAACTGGTGGAACCGCAGCTCCGGGTTGCGCACCGGGTTGTTGGTGCAACCCAGACCACTACAAATCCTGCTCGACATTGCCCAACGCGAGTCCGGCGAGTCTCTCCGGCTCCACGACGCGCGCGTGAGCGAGCGCCACCGCTTCGCTCTCTTCCGCGCTGTCGCAAAAGCAATGCTGGAGTTAAAGGAACTGCCTGGAAGCTAATAAAAATAGGGAAACACAAAATAATGTGGTAAACAGCTCGTGCCGTCAGCAGAGTCGCAGAATGCCACGGGAAACGAAGCGCTCGCGGCGTACGTACGAGAGCGTAGGACTAGAACTACGTCATTGCCCAGTGTTGCTTCACTAGCTCACCCGGTGCCAGCGTTGCTCACCCGCTTTCGGGCCGCTAACCGAGCTAGGAGAACATTTTTAATATTGGTTTTAATCGATAACGCGGCGTCGGTTTGACGTAATATTTTGGGTATGACCGTATTTTGACCTCCTAAAGCGATATCAGTCATTTCGATAGGGTCGACTTTTTGAGTGGAGTTGCCCTTTAAGCGGCGCCGTGGCTCAGGAAGGAGTTTGGCCGGATGATCCGCGGGTGGCGGCAGACGACTATCCGAACTGTTCGAGGAGTGGTCGACCTTCGATCGCGGAAGTTCACATCGGGATCTTTCCCCGTCCTATGCAGCTGAGGTTTGATCCCCGCAGTTACACCATCAATCGTCGAAACAGTATCCAGAGACAGGCGTTTCTGCTGTCTTGGCGAATCCAGTACCTCGGTGCGTCGGCGGCAGCCCTCTCCCTCGGTGTCAGCACGAAAACGCGACGCGATAGCGTGGACAGCACGAGGCTCGGACGTTCTCTCGGACCTGGCCTGTCCCTCTGGTAGGGGACTACTTGGTGCTGTTCGCGCGCGATGCAGTGCAAATGACCAGAGGAGTCTGCATTTTCCTAGTAAAGTGCTTAAATTTCTGCTCTTTTGTCTATGCCTCTGCTGGACATTCACCGTAACTTACGGGTAAATTGTTCTTCTCGCTACAGAAACTGCTTCTCGATGGCGTGACACCTTTGTCGACATGGATAACATAACATGGTAAGTACGAGGAGGCCGAAGCTTGGTCCTGGTGTCGCTTCATAATTGTCTAGACTAGACTGGAAGATATCTGCGGACATGAGTGTGCAAAGAGACAAATAAAATTGTTTAAGAACTGCCAGTGAATGCTCAAGTTTACTTCTATTTTGATACGTGTTGTTGGACACACTGAATGAAGCAAAAAAGCCGGGCTGGTAACATTTTATAAAAAGAAAAGAAATAGGAAACACTCAGAAGTGTGTAAAAAAAGGGAAGACATCAAAAGAACAATGGCTGGATACTTAATTTTTTTGCTTTTTATTTTTACTAAAAATAATGTGTGTGTAGTTCCTTACCCGCGGCCCATGTGCTCTCTTGTTTCACCCTTTTTATTTTGACAATGCCAATTTTTTTTATATCGAAATAAAATATTAAAAAAAAGAAACAGTGAGCCTTGATGAAATTTAGGTTCCATGAAGTCGAATATGTCACTGAAAGACATGGTGATTTATGGCATTTTTTGTTTTGGCATGGCTTTTGTTTATTACGCCTCTAGCGCGAGTTTCTTCGATATCACTGCGGTGTCTCGTGTGAGCTTCGAGCTTGCGCGCATAGCCAAAGCACGACGGAGGGCAACGAGCGCGTGTGGGAGGCTGGCCGTCAAAAAAAGAAAAGAGACGCCCTGCGTTTTTTGTCCCGTCAGTGACTGTTCACAGCGTTCAGCGATGGAGGTATACCGTTGCGGTGTGAGAATCGCGCTCCCCAGTTCCTGGATGATCGGCTTCACACGATGAAGGTGCTTGCTTGTACATTCCTGACATGAAAGTACTAAGTAAAGCTCTGATATCGATCGTATTTAACAAAATTAGAATTACTTACGCGTCAGAGACCCTAGCTCGTACTGCTGTTCAAGTTAGGACGATCGTCCAGCTTACAGCCATCTTGATAAGATTTGTAATTTTCACGGCGCTTAGAGCAAATCCGGAGACGGTCTTTTGTTTCGTTCAAGCTTAACAGATTTGTTTACAAAAAGTTGCAAAAGCTACATTTGTGCGGTTTGTTCAGGTCAGTTATACGGCCAATGGGACATAGTATATGGGCTAATAATAAAGATTTTAGTTGGATAATTAAATGAAATTTCTTAATAACTTTTTAATCAGTGAAAATAGACATATGGTTACAATTAGAAACTTGCTGAGTGTTATCAAAAACCTGTAAATATGTCATTTTCAGAAAGACTTTCAACGCGTGAGAAGCGTAATAGTTCACTAAAGTTACCACTCGTGGAGCAGGTACAAGGTTAGCGGTAAGGTGCCAGCGCGATTTTTCTGTCTCTTACCTAGCCCCAGCCTTGTACCTGCTCCACGAGTGGTAACTTTAGCGCACTACTGCGCTTCTCACCCGCTCAAAGTCTTTCTAAATTGACTGATTTAGGGGTTTTGCATGACGCTCATCAAATTTCTAATTGGAACTATAACACTATTTTCACAAATTCAAAAGTTAATTAACATAGCTTAATTAATTAGCCAGCTGATCGTTATACTATATACTATATCCCGATATTCTATGTCCCCCTGCCCGTATAACTCACCTGAACAAATCGCATAAGTGTAGCTTTCACAGCTAAGCAAACCTCTTATGCTTAAAAAACACCCGGCATATATACAGGGTGTTTTACGAAAGGTGGACAAATTCGATGCTACAAAAACTACGCGTCGCAACAAAAAGAGGCTTGTGTCGTTTTTGTCCTGGGCCAGGGGCCTATTTAGGAAAATTGACAAAGTCCTGGATAATTAGGCACCGCGCCCCGTGGAGAAATAGTGCAACCAGCTTCTGCTGCGTCACGCGATGACAGCGCAGCAGAGGCTGGTTGCACTATTTCTCCACGGGGCGCGATGCCGCCGGGGCCGAGATGCGCTCCGATAGCAAACCGAAACTTAAAAACCCTCGATTTTGTGCGGTTTTTCAGAAAGCCGTAAAATGCCTCGCGTGCTTTCTATCGTTCTGCAATTTGTTGATCTTGGGTTTTATGATGATGCTGAGCAATTTTCTAATGAAACCATGCCCTTAAGCCCAATATTAAAAAAAAGTTAATTACGCAAAATAGTTAGCAATCTAATTATCCAGGATTTTGATAATTTTCCTAAGTAGGCCCCTGGCCCAGGACCAAAACGACACAAGCCTTTTTTGTTGCGACGCGTAGTTTTCGCAATATCGAATTTGTCCACCCTCGTGAAACACCCTGTATATGAGTGGTTTCATCTCAAATCAGGCACAAATTTTGAATAGAATTTTTATTTTTTTTAAATACATGTTATTGGGCAATTCCTATAATAAAAGAAGGCGTGAACGGCAAGCTCGTCGGATTTTTTGTCCTCAAGTTATGGACCGTTGTAGCGGCCAAGGTGGAAACTGTCGTTTTTCCAGCTTATAAGGGGTGCCATATTTCACTTCATCCCTTTTCCTTACTTTTTATGCTACATCAATATAAAGTTTAGGGAACATTCTCGACATACGCTTTTTTATAATAAATAAGCGTCTAGGTTATAACTAGGGTTCCGCGTTTTCGGTTTCTATTATTTCGAAATTCGGCGTACTTTTTTCGGTGTTTATTTTAAAATTCAATTTTCGGTTTTTTTCGGTTTATATTTATGCCCAAAAAAGTTTATCGGCTTCTTTCGGTGAATTAAAATAAACACTAACGGACACCGGATCAGGCGATCCTTGTAGCTTTGATATTTGTGATCACTCAAAGAATAACTGCACAGATACATTGATAAAGAAATTGACACTTTATTGGGCAAATGTTTGCAACTGTAAAAGAAACAACAAAAAAAGACGGAAGTACCAACAAGTCAGATATAAACCTTATGCCCCCAAAGCATGGAACTTTACCTTCTGTACATCGGGATTACGTGATCTTGTTATAATACACACACATGTACTTTCCCAAAATTTCTTGTTGATCCGCACTTTTTTTTTGTTGTTAATATGACTCTCAGCTTCGAGTATGCCCTCTCAACGGTAATACTGGACACTGGCGGGCTGAGGAGATGAAGCGCTGCCTGAGCGAAAATCTGCCATTTAACCAGTTATGACCGCCAAAAGAGACACGGTGCGTCGTTTTGAAGCACAACACAACATGCAGAGCTTGCGTCCAGTCTTCCTTACAACGAGTTTGAAAACTGGCTCGTACATGGGGAAGTCATGGGGCATTTCAGACTTTAGGTTCAGATCGATGATGCGCACATTAAACCATAACGTCATGATGGCATCCGTGTATCCCATACATTCAGACAGGTTACGGTCGGCACTGTCGTTCCACTTTTTCGCCACGACGCTGCGGTACGACTGGAAGGTCAAAGTGACCTTTTCCGGTTAAAGGGATACTGAACCAAAATTTCGAGCTCACTAAACAAGGCCGGACGGATAGGCGGGAATTAAGCTGCAAAACCAAAAAATACCACTCATACGGCGATATCTCTAACGGATCGCCGTATTTTTTGGAAAAGAAGTGCGCGATTGAACCCGGCCGACGAGGCTGACGAGACGTCACGATTCCCATTCTCTCCTCCTCCTCGCTACGTCCCGTCAAGCTGGTGAACCGAAGCGAGGAGGAGAGAAGCGGGGCCGCTTCTCCTCATACTCAAATTCTCCCCGAGGACACTTATGTCAAAGAACTCGCTTGATCGCGCCCTTTTTCAAAAGTACGGCCATCCGTTTGAGATATCGATGTACGAGGGATGTTTTGGAGTTCGTAGCGTCCCGTTCAACAGTTCTGCAGCCTTACTTTGCGAAATCCAAATTTCGGTTCAGTATCCCTTTACATCTGAATTTTGGAAAATGAATTCGACGTACTTTTATCGGTTTTTATTGATTTAAGTCGAGAATGGCGAACCTACAAACTGACCTTTTTCGGTTAAAACCGAATTTCTGAAAATGGATTCGGCGTACTTTTATCGGTTTTTATCGGTTTAAACCGAAAACTCCGAACCCTAGTTATAACATTTTAATGTATTTGTTTTTTATTTCTCAAACGGCCTCTCTGCGACGATATTTGACGAGGTTCAGCAAGCTGTGCTGTCTGACCTAATCAACATATTTTTATGATCTTTACATCACTGTAAAGCTCCAATTAAGCCATTTCTTTTGAGTGTAATTTCAGTATTGTGTAATAAATATATAATTTGCTACATGTGCCTGAAAAACGGATATTTTGAAAAACTATCAAGTTTGGAGTCGATTTGCTAAAAACAACCCACCTTTTATTTCTTTTATTTTTTATTCACAGCTAGGTAATATAGTAGTCTATCAGGAACTGCCTACAAAAATGTAATATATTGTTTGTATGGACGCTAATATGACTCCAATCTCGTGCTATGAGCGTTTTGAACGGTATCTCAATTAAGTCACACGGAAGAGCTGGTCAAACATTGACAAATATTGTCAAAGGGACACACTTTGACAGCATTTAAAACAAAATTGTAGATAATAATTACAATAAAATCATTGACCATAAATAGTCTCTATTCTGAGAGTGGCCCAAAAAGTCACACTGCGCTACCGAAAGAGTGAAAAAGGTAAAGGGGTCAAACATGACACCTCCGACAAGCGAGAGAAAGTTCAGTTTGCGCCTCGGCTGCTTAAAATGTCCATTACTGGAGAACACAAAATCGCTCGAACTTGTGGTTTGCACTCCCTGTCACAGAAGCAATTTCCCCAAAACATATATTTTATTTGTCAAAATTAAAAACTCGACCCCAAATCTGTGCCTGAGTTGAGATGAAACCACCCATATGTATATGCACTACATATCTCTTTGACACAAGAAAATGTAACAATTATATATCAAGTTCGGTATTTCAAACTCAAAGCCGAAAGCAAAAAGCCCCAGAGGAATTCTCTAACGATCTGCGCATTCCCCCGTATTAAGAGGAAGTAAGCGCTGGTGCCCGCGCTTGTGGATACGGACTTTTAAGTAACTTTTTTTAAGTACACTACTCCAAATTTGATTAAAGTTTATGGTTGGATATTGAGGTAACTGGTAACGGTAAGTAGAAAACCTTACGTAGGCCAAAATTCTGCTCAGCAGAGCGCCTGTGCGAAGTTCCGTTCAAAACGCTCGAGATTCGAGTCTTAATAGCGGCCATACCAACAATATATTACAATTTCTGTTGGTAGTCCCTGACAGACTACTATATTACCTAACTTTGAATAAAAAATGAGAGAAATAAAAGGTGGGTGTTTTAGAAAATCGACTCCAAACTTGCTAGTTTTTCGAAATATCTGTTTTTCAGGCACATGTAGCGCATTATACACTTCTTCTACAATATTGAAATTATACTCAAAAGAAATAGCTTAATTGGAGATTTACGGTGATGTAAATGTTATAAAAAATGAAAGCAGTTTACAACTCCCCGTAACGCCGAATTAAAGCGCAGCTCTTGAAGATGAGAAGGGAAGGGTACTGAGGGTCACGTGTTCTCGGTAGGCGGGGGGGGGGGGGGGGTCACGTGAACTGGGGAAGGGGCCACGTGACCCCCTCCTCTGAGGTCACGTGACCCCCCAGAGAAACTTTTCCGCTAGATTTAGCGGGGAAATTTTTCCGCTAAATTTGCGGGGAAATCTTTCTGTTAAATTTAGAGGGAAAATTTTCCGCTAAATTTAGCGGGGAAAATTTTCCGCTAGATTTAGCGGAAAAATTTTCCGCTAGATTTAGCGGGAAAATTTTCCAGCTAGATTTAGCGGGGAAATGTTTCCGCTAGATTTAGCGGGGAAATTTTTCAGCTATATTTAGCGGGGAAAATTTTCCCCTAGATTTAGCGGAAAAATTTTCCGCTAGATTTAGCGGGAAAATTTTCCAGCTAGATTTAGCGGGAAAATGTTTCCGCTAGATTTAGCGGGGAAATTTTTCAGCTATATTTAGCGGGGAAAATTTTCCCCTAGATTTAGCGGAGAAATTTGCCGATAATGCACCGCGCGGTTACGCCGACGCCGACGCCGCTCAAGCCGGAAACGGGCGCCTAAGAGCTGCGCTCTAAAATATGTTGATCAGCTCAGACAACACAGCTTGCTGAACTTCGTCAAATATTGTCGCAGAGGGGTGGTTTGACAAATAAAAAAAAATTCATTAAGAATGTTATGACCTAGATGCTTAATTAGCATAAAAAAGCATATGTCGAGAGTGTTCCCAAAAAGTTATATCGATGTAGCGTAAAAAGCAAGGAAAAGGGATGGAGTGAAATATGGCACCCTCGATAAGCTGGAAAACTACAGTTTCCACTTTGGCTGCTTCAACGGTCCATAACTTGAGAACAAAAAAATCTGACGAACTTGCCGTTTACGTCTTCTTTTATTATAGGAATTGCCTGATAACACGTAATTAAAAAAGAATTATAATTTTGACTTAAAATTTGTGCTTGAGTTGAGATGAAATCACCCATATATATAATGGGAATGAGTGAAGGTTGACAAGTGCAGGGGAACGAATAGGGGAGACAGTGATTAGTGAATTCACTGCATTAAAGTTAGGAAAAGGGAGGAAAGAGAGCTGACAAAAAATTGGGCTGTAGATAAAATACTACGAGCAATTTAACGTCCAAGGAGGGGTGGAGTAAAGATATTAACAAAAACAAAACCAATAATAAAAAAACAAAAAAAAAACACGATTGTATACAATGCTGAAAAAACATGTTGAACAAGTCAAGCAAGATCTATATAGGCATCCAAGAAAGAAAGTGGTTCCTGAACAAGGGAAAAAAGAGGTGCCGAAGTTTAACTTGGGCTTCGCGCATCTCCTGGCATGGGCACTGTCGGTTTAGGGCTCCCGCACATGGCACGGTCGCGCGCATCGCGGCTTTGAAAACGTGTCTGCAAGGACTGTTCTTCGAGGCCCATATAGTCATATTGCGTAACTCACGGCGTTTGCCAGAAATACGAACGAATCTTCGATACACTTGTCTCATGGCGAGGCGTACCGTTCGGACACCCCTCTATTATTTTACCATAAACGACACTTTACATTGAAATGCTCTCACCAAAAATTTACGGGGAGATTACATGAGAAACTAAACTGCGCTTTGTGTGCAAGCGGTTTTACAGAAAATAATACTCTAGCACCGGTATATGTACAGCTCATAAACTTCCCAACGTCGCTGACCTCAATTAGGCGTTTTAATATATATATATATATATATATATATATATATATATATATATATATATATATATATTTTATTTTAAAAGGAAAACGTGTAAATGCCAATATGCAAACGCTTTTTACGATACTGATGGAGGTTTATTTAAAAAAAAATTAAAACAACACACGGTATGAGCCGTGTAGTACTCACATAAACAGGGTGAAGGGCACGCAAAAAATATATTTATTAATTTATTTTTAAAAATATTTTTGCTTGCCTCAGAGAGCAAGGAAAAAAGAAAAGAAAAACTTTCTGAAGTATATGTGCCGCGACCACTTTTCTCGGCAATACATTGGAAGGTACAGGCGAGCGTTCCCTCTCCCATATTAAGCCTTTCGTGGTGTCTCCTCCTCTTCCCGGAAAAGCCAAAAGAGTTGTCGCGGAGTATAGTATGCAGGGTCATTAGCAAAAGTGTAGTAACTGTCGGTGGTGCCTCGTTTTAATCGATTAGGTGCCATATCGAAAACCCATGCCGCGATTCGCACCTCCCCTCGCAGGACTCAGCGACCGCCGTCTCCCACGCTGCGTGCGTTCGTCCTGCACAGCTTCATCGTGCTCCTAGTCACCGGTCTCCTGCTCACTTGCGTCTTCGTCAGGAACCTCTCCACCATTGAGAGCGGTACGCTCGAACGAATGCGCCAGCGGCGGCGTCGGAAGTGCTCGAGAGGTGGGACAAATGGGGGCGACGCGAGCGCACAGAGTGGATTTTCTCTCCCGTTCTTTCGAAGCGTCCGGCTCCTTTCCCGTCGTCAAAGAACGGGCAACTGAGACAAGACTGCAGACATTAGCGTTCGTGCGCGAATTGTGAGTGGAGCCCTTTGCGTGTCGCTGAGCAGGTAATACTATACGCAGTAAAGGCGCCCAATCGGAAGTCGTCAACGTGTTCGAAGTCTGGAAATCGGCATGTATGCACGCCGCCGGTCACGATAGCTTTATAGGATCATACGTTTGTTCTACTTTTATTTATAAACTTCCTGTAATATGAATTCGTACAGATATACGTGAAGTGAGCCGCGCGAGTCCACAGTCATTAATATACGCAAACATAAGTTAATTGGAATCATGCCCTGTCTCAGTAGCGTCGAAATCGGTTGGCTGGGGGGGGGGGGGGGGGGGGGGGGGGGGAAGAGGGGAGGTGTTATTTTTTTTTTTTTTTCAGTCAGACGTTTGTAGTAAACAGCTTGGGGGGAAAACGAGAAAAAAAAAATCTCTCTCCAGCTTCCGAACACTTAGTAGCTGGAGAGGCGCACTCGTTTTTCGTCGTCGGAGACTCTATTTGTGCTGGTGAAGTAATCGCTCCTTTTGTAGTCGAGGGGTACGCCACCGAAGTTACCCAATAAGAGACCTCACACAGAGGTTCTTATTGTGACGTCGTTAGTATTTAATCGGCACGTGCGAGCGAACGAAAGTGCTCTATACTAAAATTTTGTCTCGCGAGGTAAGTATTACACCTTTTTTTTTCTTTTTTTTTCGTGAAGCGTGCACCATGTGACGTACGTGGCCTATTTAGGCAGTTTCTTTAAATGCTATTTTGAGGGTTCATTGTTCCTTCGACAACCCTGATTATGTGTAGAATGGGGGCTTTTCGAATGCCACCTGTATCAGAAATGGCCTCTGCCATTAACAAAAGAACACCAATAACATAACGGGGTATTTATTTCAGTCGTCTCCCTCGGAGGTGACAACAATAACCATGGTGGCTGTAAGTTATCTTGTCCGTCTTGCTTTCATGGCGCTTTGGCGCGTGCGCTGTGGTCGCCGTATATAAACGAATGTAGAAAAACTCCCCCGGAGTCACGTGGCTGTAATGTTTTCTTTCAGTACTCCGTTATACCTCCGGTAACGTTTTCTACTGCGACAGCAAGCAGTGTGACTACGAAGGTAAGGGGTGAATAGCACAGACATTATTTACAAATTCACAACTATTTTTGAATATACCATATATACATATAAAAATCGATATTCCATAGAGTGCACTAAAACAGGAAGAGTTTTTTTATTTGTTTTTTTTTGTATGCCGAAGCCGAAGTTGGATTGTTTGAGAATTTTCTAATCAGAGACACTCCAAACCCAAACCGTCTAGCTGGAAATACTCCACTAGATCCACCGAGTTAAAAAAAACCTGAAAGGATCCGTTATATTCGAAGATGGCAGCTGTTTTTGGAGGTATACGACGCTACTTGCCTTTGCCACGACTCCTTTTTCGTGATAACGGCTCGTAAAGGGCATGCCTCCTTGTGTGTTTTTGCGCTGAAAAATACCTCAATGTGCACCCGTTCAGAATTTCTTACCCTCCCCGCCAACTGGGCGTAAATCTAGGCGCTCACATGCCTGTTTTGTCCTTTCACCAGTTTTTTTATATGAACATTTACCGGTCTGATATTCGGTTCTATAGCCGCGTTTGCTTTTTCGTTAAACAAGCCTGCCGGTAACAACACGAATTGCCTCTCTTTGTCAGATAACATGACACCCAGTCCATTATCCACCACGTAATTAGGGTTCCGTGGTTTCGTATAAAGCAGATAAACTCCGAAAAAAACATTCACCGGTAAGAGCTTCGACAATTCGGATTTATCCGAAAAACACATAATTTCAATGTCACAATAAAAAAAAAAAATATATATATAGAAGAGAGCATGGCGTCTGAAATCTAGCTCAGTGCTTCGCTGTGCCGCCATGATCTTCGCAAGGGCTGCACGTTGCACGTGCCTCGTGCATCGACGAACCTTGTGCTACTTATGGAACATAAAAAAGGCTTTAATAAACCTCCTTTTCCAAAAAACAAACAAACAAAAAACCTTCCGCGTTTTCTTGTTTTTTTTTTTAAACTTTTGACAAAAACCAGTTTTCCGTTTATCTCGTCCAGGTTTATTCAGTACGATATGGGCCAATGTACTTCCGGACAACGGATCACAACTAAAAGTTACTGTTTCGGATTCCAGTATGGACCATACCATTTGTGTTTGTTAGAGGGAAGAGCGGTTATGTTTTTATAACAGTGAAATATGTGAACATGTAGGTCTCATAGGCTGGGGAGGGCAGTTGAAAGTTTTATTAGTTGAGGAGCTTGGCTTTTTCAAAGTATTGCCGTTTATTGAAGTAATACTTTTTTTTCAAGATTTGTCATGGGACAGTTGGTCCTGCCAATCGCATGGGCGCTAATGTCAAATGCAGCTGCAGAAATATATTTCGATACCGGTGATTATTTTTGCCTATTTAGTGTGCGTTTTTGTTCGGACATTATTTATTGTAATAAGAAAGCAGAACAAAATAAAATTAATCTTCAAATTTCAGAGAAATGGGAATCTAACAAAAATAAACTCCAATAAACCCAAAATTTCCGGCAAAGAAAAAAAGAAAAAAATTTCGAAAAACATTTTTTGAATGTTCTAAAAATATTAACTTCGAAAACACGGATTCCTACATATAATCCACCAAGGGGGACATTGTACCAACCTGTCCTCTTTTCCTTGGCGCTTGAAGGACATCTACTAATTTAGAGGTACATTGTGGCCTAAACTCCCTCCAGTGCTTTGTCCGCTACTTTCGTAGCAAGAGTCACGAACACCGGGGGAGGCTCGAAGCTGAACTTGGGACTCAGCTCCAACGGCTTGCCAATTTCCGGTGTAATACCTTGGCATCCCCAAGGGTTATGAGCCACCTTTCAACAGTTTCATCTGTCCTATCCTCTTTGGAAGTTGCTTTGTTGTTTCTCGAAAAAGGTGGACAATTGAAAACGCAGGAGGACAAAGTGGTGGAGATATTTACGGAGCGTGGGGGAGGCCTCAAGTTCACCTTTGAGGTTCCAAAATAAAGCCTATTCCAGTACCTGGACCTCTCTCTCTCCTTGACGCCGATATTTGCTGAACTTATTGTTCACAATCAAAGAAGGGTATTCTGGACTACAAATCGGCCCATTCAAAAATTGAAAAGATGGCTCGCTCTTTCATGCCTAGGATCAGCACTAAAAAAAAAAAAAAAATGTTTCTCCACACATTGAGAGACAGCTTTAAAGGGATACTACAACGAAATTTTGGTGCTCATTTTTTTGGTCTATATGCGTTCAAAAGAGCAGTATCACATGGAACATACCAATATCTTGTTTAAAAAGTCTCGAAAAGTAATTTTAAAACGAATTAAACGATTAGCAAAGAGCACCTGGTGGATGTCGCTAACGCCTCGTTTGTAATGCTCGTCCACCAAATTCGTCTACCAGTTTACCAAATTTGTTGTAAAAAGGATGAAACCAATCGTCATCCCATTTTTACACAAATTCTCAGAAAAAAAAAATACTACAGCCGCTATAGATTTTTCAGTCCTTTCTATTCCCCGCAAAGCAAGAAGTCAGATGTGTACAAGAGTTAACGTGAAGGTAAGGTCAAGTTCAAGGTCAGGTTTATTACCCTCAAAGATGTTCATTGAAACGTGCTACATGAGAGGGGGGGGGGGGGGGGATCAAAAAGCACTGGATTCGTTGGCAACACAAGGAACTAAGATTGAATCACGACTTATACAAAAGAAAATATCAGAAAACAAGTGTTGTAAGAAACATGCCAATGCGATAGAAAAGGTATTAACACAAAGGGGGGGGGGGGGGGGGGGGAGGGGAGGCGGAATCTCTCCCTTTGCTCCCCGGATGCGCATGACGTGGCAACAACGTGACGCCTTTGCGCGGAGCAGCGCTGACGTAGACATCCCGGGTAGATGGGGGGGGGGGGCTTTTGCTTGGGCTGCACAAGCAGTCCCAGCTTTGACGTGAGGTCTCTCCGAAATTGACTGTATTTTGTTCGCGTGTCTGGCAAGAGAGAGAGAGAGAGAGAGAGAGAAAAAAAAACACTTTATTGCTACACTCCTGGTTCGGAGCTTCTGAGGGAAGTTCTGGTGTGTCTACGATTCCTCTTCTGGGAGGGTGGTAAGGATGTGTTGAAGGAAAGCTTTTTGGCACATGATGGTGAGGTGTTTGGGTGGAGTGAGCCATTCTTTGTAGGATGAGGGCCATAGAGTAGGTGGTGTGCAGAATAAAGCCGTGCCTTTTGAAGAATGGGCATTGGGGCATGTCCAGAGTGTATGGTGGTTATCTGGGTATCCTCCACAGTGTTTGCAGGTTGGATGTCCTGCATTTCTAGACATGTAATGGAGAAAGTTGTCTGTGAGCAGCGATAATATCTGTGCTCTTCCTAGAAGTACTTCTTCCTTCCCATACCGAGCGAGCGTTGAGGAAAGGGCAGAGTTCTTACATTTTCTTTTAGTTGCTTAAATGTAAATTTTCTTGTAGTTTCTTAGATCGACCTCTCGGTGCGTGGTTTATACTCAGACGACCACACAGTAGAGGGTCCCGGTAAAGGTTCTCGGGTTAGGAGGTGAGACTCCTTATTCCCCTCTAGGTTATCATGGTCTTGTGTCCATTGTATCGTGACCTTTATATTCCTTCGCAGATGCAGGTAATCCTGGATATGTTGCTTAATGTGTGTAGGCAACCTGTTGTCTCGGAAAGCCCTCCATGCAGTTTGACTCTGCGTCCGGATGAGGATGTCGTCCGTAGGGTGGTAGGGTGATCGCCTTGCCGACATCAGTTATCTCTTCTTCCTCTGGCGTCGGAATCTCTCAGCGAGTTTGAGGGGCTTAGAGCGATAAACTGGTGTCCTGTTCGCAAGGCAAAAGTGACCTCCACTTGGCTGTCGCCATGTACAATTTTGACGACTAGACACGTGGCCGTACCAAACCCTGAGGCTTTTGCGCCAAACTGAGCCGAGATTTGTAATGCGATCGCTGTAAAAACATGATAAACTATTTTTTAATACTGTCAGCCCCAGAGATCAGTGTCTAGCTCCTTTAAAAACCCAAAATGCAGCGACGCTACCCGTGTTTTTGTCGTAAATCACATTTTGGACTTAAACGAAACATAACTATTTCGACTGATACTGTTATTAAATATCAAAAACAATTATTTTTGCGCGGTACTTTCTTAAAATCAAGACGTAAAACTATAAAATTCCGTTTCTAGTGGTCAAAACTGTGCAACATGGAGGCGGCCTATTGGTAATCACTTCCAGCTGCCAGTTTATCGCTCTAAGGCCCTCTACCTTCTTGGAATTTCTACTTGTTTGTTCTGCCAAATGAGGTGGTGACTGGTGACTGCTGTGTTGCTTTTTCTTCTTTATGTGAGTCGTCTGGCAACATTTACAGATTTTGCTCAGCGGGATACCGGCGGTGACATCGAGATCGCCTAACTTGTTGTGGCTTGCGCTCTTGTGCCCATCCCGTAGATGATGGCTGAATAATGCATCCAACCATTAAAAAAAAAATTTTTTTTAGCAGAAAGCAGTTTGTTGTTTTTTCTATGTTCGCTAGCGCGTACCGAGCCCTGCTGTCGAGAGTGCGGCCGCTAAGTGCGTCTGATAACACTGACGTTTCTCTCGACCACGGTGGAAGAAATACATTTAGGTGATGACTCTCTGTCACACGCGGCGACCACATCATATTCGGTGCACTGAGCGCGCTTCACTCGCACGGGGATAGATGGCGCTCAAGTATAGAGGGGCTTGTGAAGGCTTGTAAAGGAAATTATGCATTCCTTACTCGGTCCCCGTGTACTGTTTGGTGAAATCATGGATTTATGTTGGCGCATTGGCACTGATGATCTTTTCCCCCGTGCGGTTGCTGTTTTTTAAACGAGAATATTCCGGCGATGACTCAACGTGACAAAATACTTGTACATATGCAAAACTTCACGATACAATCTACTGTGCTTTCAATAATTTAGAGTAATTTAAAATAATTCCATTAAACAGATGGATCGTGCTCGCATGTTTTGTGCGACAGCATGTTTGGTAACAGTTCCGTAAATTGTTTGCCCAGATTGCGTGGCTTTATAGGAGGTC